AAAACGCTGCAAAGGCTATTAGCCCTAACAATATAACAGCAATCATACTGAAGACTTGTGCTGGAGAACTTGCACCCTTAGCCAAGCTGTTCTAACACAGTTACAATGCTGGCACCTACCTGAAGATGTGGGAAATTGCCCAGGTATGTTCTGTACACAAAAAGCTGGACTAGTCTAACTCAGTCAATTACTGCCCTACGAGTCTAATCTTGATCATTGGTAAAATGATGGAAGGTGTCATCAAGAGTGCAATCAAGCAACACTTGCACAGCAAAAACCAGTTCACTGATGGTCAATTTGGGCTCAAAAACCACTTAATTTCTGATCTCAATACAGATTTGGTTCAAACATGGACAAAAGAGCTGAATGCCAGAGGTGAGAGTGACTGCCCTTAACATCAATGCCGTGTTTGACTGAGTGTGGCATCAAGGAGCCTGTCCAAAACTGATGTGAATGGGAATTGGAGAAAAAGTCTCTCTGCTGGTTGGAGTCATACCTGGCACAAAGGAAGATGGTCATGGTTTCTTTTATGGGGTTTGGGAGGCATGTTGAGGGGTTGGAGGGTGGTGTCAGTCAATTCATGTGCAAGACATCTCTGTAGGAGATTGGAGGGTAGGGTCCTGGGCCCAACCATCTTCAGCTACTTCATCAATGGCCTTCCCTGAATCATAAGGCCTGACGGGGATGTTTGCTGATGATTGCACAATTTTCAATGATTATCACAACTCTTCAGATGCTGAGGCAGTCCATGTTCAAATGCAGTAAGACCTGGACAATATCCAGACTTAGCAATGAAGTGGCAAGTAACATTGCTGGCACTTGTCTGGCATGAATGACTATCTACAATAAGAAAGAATCTAAATATCATCCGTTGCCATTCAGTGGTACTACCCATCATTGAATCTGCACTGTAGAGGTTACCATTGACCAGAAAATGATCTAGATTTAAACACAGTGACTTTAAGGTTAGGAATCCTGCAGTGAAGAACTCATCTCCTATCACTCCAAACCACATCCACTACCTACAAGGCATAAGCCACGGGTGTGAAGGAACAGTCTCCACGTGCCTGGATGAGTACAACTCCAAAACACTCAAGATGTTGACACCATCCAGGACAAGTTGATTGGCACCACATCCACATTCACTTCCTTCACATCACAATCTCACAGCAGCAATAGTGTGTTCCAGCTACAAGATGAGCAGCAGAAATTCACCAAGCCTCTTTGGATCGCACCTTCCAAACTCGCGGCCTTTGATGTAGTGATTGTAACAAGATCAGCCAGCTGGACTTCAAGAAGGCAACTTACCATCACCTTCTCTGGGGCGGTTCGGGATGGACAGTAAGTGTTGGCCTATCCAGAGAAATGAATTGAGTTGAATTAGTTTTCTGAATGATTTGCATTAGTTTTGTCGTCACATGTACTCAAATGAGTACAGTGAAAAAATTTATAGTCATCGCATTACAGCACCATCTTAGGTACAAAGGTACCTAGATACAGATGCTTACGATCAAATTGTGCAAGGGTCACCAGACCCAAAATGTTAACTCTGATCTTTTCTTCACAGATGCTACCAGACCTGCTGAGCTTTTCCAGCAACTTCTGTTTTTGTTCCTGATTTACAGCATCCACAGTTCTTTTGGTTTTTATGGGGCAGTTCTACTTTGACCAACTGCAGAGATGTGTCTAGGATGTGCTCACCAGACTTTGGTCCCATGTTGAATCTAGGATGCTCAACAAAAAAATAAACTTACACTTGAGTAGGACCATTCATGACTAGCTGATATTATCCTGTGAAGAGGCAATCCCCGAGTTTCTCTACACCTGCCTGTCACTAATGTTTCCAGAGCTGCATCTGTCATTGAACAGTGGAGCAGACAGAGGTTTGCATAATGTACAACACATCAGCAATATTTTTTGTGCAGGTTGCCTTTAAGGTACAGCCTGCATTTAAGAAAGTAGGCAGGCTTTAACATATGATCAGAAAACAAGAACTGCAAGGGATCCCTGCTATGTGCAGAGACTACAGGCAGCTTGGAGGACAATGTAGTAGTGTGGGAACCATAAATGCTGATGCTATGATCATGCAAATGAGGGTGCATGTAAACTGTATGGTCACATCTTGATTTGCATGGGCTCAGGCATGTTGTACTTCATAACCACGACAACTCCCGTCCAAAAATCTGCTAATTTTTACACTCATGGTTCAAACTTTAACTGCCTTTAAAAGCATTGTGGTGAATATGATTGAAAGATTATGGTTGAGCAAAAAAAGTTTCCTATTAATTTTAACTCTTGTTTTCCCCATCTGCTCTGGATGATGATTATTAGCTGCGCTCAGTATCTAAGTTCTGTGTCATTATAATACTGCTGTAGGCAACTGAGCTAATTGGGGTGGCCAAGCTGCTGCTACAGGCTCTAAGAATCAATGAAGAGCTGCTGAGGACCAATGCCTTGAGGCAATGACCTCTCCAGTATCATTATGAACATTTTTTTTGCATGTGGTGACTGAGAAACCTATCACACCCTACTACTCTGTACCATTGTTTTACTGCTTTTAAGGACCATATAATGGCCAGAAATACAGTCAGAAGTTTAAAGGATTTTATACATTAATGAAAAACAAATTAAAAATTGTGTTTAGGTGATGAGTTATTCACGGTAGATAATACTGATAGAAGTTATATTCCACCATTCTGTATAAATTCTAAAGAATAGCATATCCACTTGTCTTTAAAAGTAAGGCTGCCAGACTCTTTTCCGCCTCATTATTTTCTGCTATTGAGGAAATATTCCAAATCTCAAAATGGATGATCAAAATTATTACATGTTCTTCCTGCTAGGACAGAGTTCCCATTACAATGACATATATACGTGATTAAAGTAGAAGTTGACATATCATAACTGAACTTGAAGAAATGAAGTGGATTACCTAGTGCACATGATAATGCTTTGGGTGGATGATAAAGTGTTTGAATTATGTAGTTTCTATTTCTGGAATGGAGTTCAAAATGGCTGAGGACAAGAGAAAAGCTCCCAATAAGAACGGCAAGAAATCTTGACCAACAAGAAATGGAGTCGGTTAAAGAAGGAGCGTTAACGCATCTACATCTATGATGGGCACCATCATCTCCTCCACAGCCAAGAGAATCATGAATTCTTCTGTGAATTATATCATTGAGCACACCACCAGTGACGTTTCCTGACTGGCCCATCATAACAAATGCATTTTCACCAACTCTTCAGAGATCCTAACTGTCATGTGCTTGCTATTGCTTGGTGAGCTGGCCAAGCAACAAGTATATCAGCTGCTACTGAAACTTTGCAATTTATTCAACTAATCATTCTACTGAAAATGTGAAATTTGTAATCAAACTGGAAAAAATTGGCATGAACAAATATGACATTAGTTTTCCAAGTTACAGAGATTTTTCATCCTAGTTATGGCTATATACACCATTTATTTACCTACTTACAGCTCGTTAGTAAAGTGTATTATTTGGTGGTTTTTAACTACCATAACAATGTAATACGGGATATTCTCATCAGTTTAGTAATTTCTAGTAGATTTCAGACTGCAGGGACTTCAATTGTATGAAGTAGTATTGAATTACTGAGAGAAGCTTTTGGATTTCCGCATTTAACAACATGTGGCCAGACTTCAGAAGCAGCGTCAATTTCAGAGCAGCAATGATGGATCAGCGCCAACATTATCACTATCATTATTATGATAAAATCTGGGCTATTGTTGTTGCCAACACCAGCTTCCACACTGACCCAGTCGCTTAAGGAAGTCAACAGCTGATATATGGAATTTGGAGGAAAATTGCATAGTCTAAAGCAGAATAGTGCTATGTGCAGAATTTCAATTCTAGTGACCCATGCTGAAGTCACTTAATCAGCTTGGACATCATTTGAAAACATACTTTGTTGCTGGATTGTGTCATGAGTGAAGAATGATCACTCTGGGGAAGACTCTAAAGATTACTAGCAATATGGCAACAAGAAGCACTCATTACATGCAAAGTAGAACAAGACCTCTGAAGCCACTCTGAAATGAGGTTAACTAACATTTAGTCAGTGTTTTAGTTGTAAAGTAGTCCTTAATTAATACAATAGTTATGCTCCTAAAAATCACTGTGTTAAACCAAATCATGTTATTTGAAACACATTCCCATAGAAACCCTTGAAAATGGGTCAGTAACAAGAGATATAATTTTAAAGTGTAAGGCAGGAGGTTTAGAGGGGATTGGAGGAAAACCTTTTTCACCCAAGGGAAGGTGGGATTTTGGATTCCACTGTCTTGGAGGGTCGTTGAGGTAGGTAACCTCACAACCTTTAAAAAATACTTGGATGAGCAGTTAAAGTGTCATTACATTCAAGGTTATGGGTCTAGTGTGGAAAAATGGGACTAGTGTAGGTACGCAGACATGGGGAGAATGTGCAAACTCCACACAAACGGCCACCAAGGCTGGAATCAAACTCATGTCCCTAGCACTGTGAAGCGGTGGGTGCTAACCACTGAGCCACCGTGCCACCCCAGACATAGGTTGGACTGTACTGTTCTACTGCAGCTCAACCAACTTCAAGGTTAGTATTGGATGCCTGTGTTCACACTGCTTGGCTTTTTGTATTCCAATGTGTCAACTCTTGACTAAATACTGATGTTATGCTGTCACTTTTCAATCAATGTGTAGCTAAATTTGCTTTGCAAAGATTATAGCATAACAGCAATCTAAAAGTATGAATTTATATATTTCACGTTCATAATGTGATCTATTTATGAAAAAGACCTATAAGTAATAATTTTAGGAAATGTCACTGTGAGTGCAGATTCTGACGAGATCAGAGTAGGTTGAAAATAACACTCCAACCAGATTCTCTAACTTACGCTCACCATGACCAAAGGCTCTATACCAGCAGGGCTGCCTTGCAAAACACCATGACATTGTTCAACATTTTATCACAAAGTCACTATATTGCTAAATGTCTTTACTTACCAAGTCCTAAGCAAGATACTCGAAGTCCTGATTTTCCCAGGTTCCTTTAAATAAAGGAGAGTAAAGTTAGGAAAGTTAATTTATGAGAGAGCAAAGAAAAATACAATTTTATTCATCTTCCGAATATTTTGAAATAGACAAAACAAACTGTTTTCAATTCAATCCTATTTTGGGGAATGGGGAGAAGATATAGTCAGCTTTCACAATCGTGACTGGAGAAAATTATATCAGAATCTCATTATTACAAACAGCAGTGTCCTGGATAATGCCAAAGATACACAAAACCCATGAGAGTTTATTTTTTTCCGTGTTGTAATCTACACAGCTGCAGTATAAAAGTAACAGCTTCAACAATAAATTAATGTTCATGGAGGGCATACCAAGGTGGTAATGCAACAAGAACAGCAAAGTACAATTGAAAGATAATGACAGGGAAATTTTATAAAGGAAAACAAGTACTAAAGTTGGGAGGGGACAAAGCTTTTATTTGTCAAAGCTTCCTCTTGCCCAGAAAAATCTTTTCATTTTCCCATATTGGATGCTATTGTTCCACTAACAATGACTGTCAATTTAGCAGCCACTTTGTGCTGCAGCCGTCTAAACCATGAGAAATTGAGACTGCCTGAACTTATTTGATGTGGAACCCACACAGCTAAATAAAGTGAGGAGACTCTTGATTCATCAAGAATGGTTTTAGTTGATCCATAGGCATTGTTGTTTGAAGTGACTTGACCACAAAATACTTACTTCTGGAAGCTCAGAAACTATGCTTCGATCTGCACCATCTATCCCTATTTCTGCACAGTATTGACCATCAACTAAACTTTATTTTCACTCAATAATATGATATGATATCTCTAGGTTGTAGAATCTGGTGACTGCTCATTGTCTCAGTTCTGGCTATTGTTCCTCTTCGACGGGGAAGAATTGCAGAGATAGTGGGTGAAATCATGGCTCTGAGTCTAACTGGATTGTTTTATGTAAGAGACAACACAGACTTAATGAATCTTTCTGTTCTGCACAATTGTGTGATTCTATGATTGCATAATCCATTAGTGTTGGAAAACATGACTTTTGATTGTTAAGTGGCTTGGAGGAGAAATTGCAGTTGATGGTGTTTCCACGCATGTGTGCTCTTGTCCTTCTGGGGGTAGACTTCAGGTTTAGGAGATGGTCTTGAAGGATCAACGGGGATCTGCCACTGTATAATCGATAGTGGATGGGAAGCCAATCAAGTAAGAGGCTTTGTTTTGGAGGGTTTCAAATTTTTTGAGTGTTATTGGAGCTGCACTCATCCGTGTAAGTGGAGATCATATCATCACACTCCTAACATGTGCTTTGTAGAAGGTAAACAGGCTTTGGGGAGTTAGCGGATGAGTTGTAAGGCATAGAATTCCTAGCTTCTGACCTGTTTGTGTAGCCCTGTATTAAATGGCCAGTCCAGTTCAGTTTCTGGTCAACAACAGGCCCACTGATTGTTGATAGTGGGGGAATTCAGAGATAACAATATCACTGAATGTCAAGGGGAGATGGTTTGATTTTGTCCTGTTGGAAATGGTCATTGCATGGCATTTTGTGGTATGAATGTCAGTTGCCATTAATCAGCCCAAGCCTGGAGATGTACATGCTTTTCTGCATTTGGACAGGGACAGGGACAGTATCTGAGGATCCACAAATGATGCTGAACATACATACTCATCAGTAAGTATTCCACCTCTGATCTTATGAACTTTGTAGCAGTGTCCTGGGACTGAGAGATTGTCATGGTTTTTGAAGTCAATCTTCCTTTGTGCCAGATGTGGCTCCAAACAGTGGAGAGTTTTTCCCTGATTCCCGCTGACTCCAGTTTTGCTAGGGCTCTTTGGTATCATACTCAGTCACATCAAATCTCAGTATCAACAGTAATCACTCTCATCCCATCTCTGGAATTCAGATCTTTTGCCCATATTTGGAGCAAGACTGTAATAAGTCAGGAGTTCCCTGGAGGAACCTGAACTGAGCATCAGTGAGGCAGATCACTTCCTCGAAAGTTATGCTTGGCAGCACTGTCAACGACTCCTTCCATCACTTTGCTAGTGAACGAGGGAATGCTGATAGGCAGTATAAGATCAGATTTCTGATTGGTTGCCTTGAAGGCAGGACACACTCAACAATTTCTCTGGAATGTGTGAATTAATGCATTTTTCTGTAATGGAGTTTAAACTCTATAAAACTTGTAATTTAATTCAGAGTTAGGCAGGCTACAGAATTGAAGAGTGTTGCATTGATTGTATATTGTGGTTGAGGAAGGTGCAAGTCACATGAAAACAATGATATGGTTGAATGCACAAAGTGGAACGTTACTTGGCTCTGTGAAGGCCTTTATAGTATTCTGCAATTGTAGTCATATTTGTTTTTGGCTGGTAACATTAAAAAAAACCTAATGGGAGGGGGGTGAGGGTTAGTTGCTTCATTAGATTTTTCTCTTGGAAGTGATAAAAAAAATTTCATTCAGCCTAAAGGAGTATCATGGTTAAGGCTACAATTTTAAGGCAGAAAGGATCAGTGACATTCAACAATCTGGTTTGGCACAGGCACAATCACAACCACAGTAGCAAGTGACCCTCCTGGGCCAGTGAGTATGCCTACCAGCACATGCACACAAGGATCTCAATCTCATGTCAAGTTGTCAGGAGTAGCATTTGTAAATTTAAAATCAAGTACATCAATTAAAACGCAAAATATTTCCAGAATCAGCTAATTTCATCATACTGTATCACACTTGACACTATGCAGTATTAATAACATTGCTAGGATTTAAATAAACTGGCAACGGCTTTTATAAATTAACTAGTAAGCATGACAACTGTTAGTTTCAATGAATTATATATACCATCTGTACAAAATAATGTCTGACCAGTGTTATTATACCAAAGCTGAGAAAATTTCACAAGCATTAGAAGATGTTGACTACAGTATTCTTAAAGACTTCCAGAAGACTGGAACTGACTTGCAAAATACTACAGTATTCAGCATTGAAACATGGTTATTGTTATTTCCATAGAATTTATAACCAGAATGGCTTTGGAAATTATTTTTCTTATGAATACCATTGCTCCTATGCTTTTGACCAAAAGGTGCCGAAGAACAGAAGGAAAACAGAGAGATTTCCCGAGATTCTGGTATTATGTCTGAAGATACCACCTGAAGTACTTGCAGCAGAGAGTCTACTAATCAAGGAGGTCTTGTATGTATTACTCTCAAAGACAGTGGATGACATTTTTCTCTCTCTGCAAGAGTTTTGGAAGGCGGTAAGAAAGGCACGTAATCTGGTGGGCTGGCACCAAAGAGATACCTGCCCTGCTCCCACAATCTCAGCAATGACATTCTGAGCAGCAATGTCCATGGTGGGCCTTCCTGACACAACCGCCAGTAAAGGCTATTGTCAAGTAACAACCACTAAAGGGTGTCAACCTGCGACCAGCTGCATTGCTCCTACCTGGGAGGAGGCTCTATTTGCCTCAATCTTGGGCAGTTAAGGGCATGATGAGGTGGGCAGGGGTGTTGGGGGACAGCTGCTAAAAGTCACACCCCTACATTTTTCTCAAATCCATCCCCTACCAAAAAAAAACAAGCTACCTTTTGGCTGGTCCTCGTTTTCATGCTGCTGCCCAACCTTCCAGTGGTCAGACCGTTAACAACTTCTTAGAGGCCAAAGCTGTCCATACCCACGTATAGTTAAACAAGGACAACATCGAGGCTTAGGCTGATAAGTGGCAACAAATGTATGCCACAAAAATGCCGGGCAAGGAACATCTCCAACAAGAGAGAATCTAACCATCTCCCTCTTGTGTTAACATCACTGACTATCCCAATAATATCAACACTAACATCAACAACTGACCAAAAGCTGAATCGGACCAGCTACATAGATACTACGTTACAAGAGCAGATCAAAGATTGGGAATTCTATGAAGACTAAATCACTTCCTGGTTCTGTACCTGTCCTCCATCTACAAGCCAAAAGTCAGGAGTCTGATAAAATACTATCCTACCCACATGCCAGGATGACTGCAGCTCAACAACACTCAAGAAGCTTGAACTTGGGCTAAATCAGTCCTTTTAATACCTGAACATTCTTTCCTGCACATCTGATGCACAATAGCAACACTTTATACCATTTACAAGATGTATTGCATCAAATTGCCAAGACTTCTTCCACAACACCTTCCAAACTCCAGTTCACTACAATCTAGAAAAAACAGAAGAGCAGATGCAGGGAATATCCTCACTTCCAAGTTTCCCTCCAAGTTGCACATCATCCTGACTTGGAACAATATTGCCACCAACCCTTCATCACTGTGTCAAAATCCTGGACCTCCCTATCTAATTACACTGAGGGTGTATACCATACTGACTGCAGCAGCTCAAGAAGATGCTTTGCCACCAGTTTCTGCAAGGCAATTGAGAGGTCATGAACAGTGGACAGAGAAGTGTGGAACCATGTGAGCACAGGTGGATGACAGTGAAGAAGTACTGGAGGTGGATAGGAGGAGTAACACTATTAAAGGCTGTATGAAGATCCAGAAGGGCAAGGAAGGATGGTTTACATTTGGCATAGTCAGACAGGACATCAAATGTGACTTTGATATTGGCCCTTAGAAGTACTACAGCAAGGACAGAAACCTGACTGGAATATTCAACGAAGGAGTTCTCGGAAAGATGGTCATGGTATTAGAGGGCAGTTTTTAGAGAGGAAAAGGAGGTTGGGGATTGTTGCATCAAACTTCTAATTATAGGAGTAAAACAGAAAGAAGAAAGTCAGCTTTGTCATTCTGAAGTATTCGGAAAAGGTGCCGGAATCATGAGGTATATTCTCTTGGTATTAATTTCCTGTAATGTTTGCCCTTGATAGCTTCTTCTGATTCATAAACTTATCTTTAGGAACTCAATATGAAGGGAGGAAGTGGAAGGAAATTATTGGTATTGATCTTTGTGAAACGAAAGATCTGACCTCAGTACCATTTTGTGAATCTTTGGATCAGATTTCAATGTTAATTCATAA